TCATTAATAGCTGCATGAGTGCTGATGTCCCTCCAGGACAGAGTCCGTGGTCCCACTGAGATGATGCATAGGCTTTGGCTCTAGGAAGAAGCAGGCTTTTTATCCCACCTACTCCTCACACCACTGTATCTTAGGAGCCAGCATGCCTAGTGAGCTGCATCCCCTGAAGGACTTGGCTTGACATCCTGATCTTCATCTTTAGAGTCAAGGAGAATGCTCCAGACAATAGCTGGTGTTTCCTGGGAGCCAGATGCTGCATAGGTCTGAAGCAGGAAGTAGAAGAGAGACATGCCCTAGATGCTGTTTTCTAAAACTGAGATCCTTACAGTAATAGCTTGATTGGTCAAATTAGCAACCCCTCCTTTGTCAGAGAAAAGAGCAGAAGTGGGATGGGAAAAGAGCATGAAAGGTCCTCATCTGTGTAGAAAGAACACGTTGAGTAAATCAAGGAAATTCTTTTTATGCTTTTAGTTATAACCAACGGATAATAAATAGGTTGAGAAAGCTGAGAAGGGATGCATTAAATGGGACTTATCCTCTGTTGTTCTCTTGGCCTCTGCTGTATTCCAGCATTTCCTGGTGGTTTTAAAACTGATGGTTTTTAAAACTTTACTCAGCTGAACATTTGGAGATGATACACTTGTAGGTACTGAAAAATTTTTTTTTCTGTGTGTGTGTGTGTATGTGTAATTTAAAAAGTATAAATGAGTAAAATAATGACAGATTCCTCAGTTGCAAAGGATGAAGATCTGTTTCAGGCTCTGTATTTCACTAGTTATATAACTTTGAATAAACCATTTTACATGGAATTTGAGGCATAAATGTATTTTGTATGTGGGTAGGCTTTGGATGGTAAAGGAAGAAGTGTGGAGTGAACCAGGTTTGTAGGCATATGTCTGGCCACTTCGCCTCTTCTCAAACTGATGTTTCTACCTTAGATTTGATATACCACTGCCAATCACTTATATATATATATATATATTTTATTTTATTTATTTTTTATTATTTATTTATTTATTTTTACTTGCCTGTTTGATTTATTCAATGCCCTGGTAAGTCACAGGGTCTGGGAGTTGCATTGGGATGACCCCAGCAAGGCAGAGAAGACAGGGCACGCACTAATGTGAAGGTCTACAGCTTAGGATTTCTACCTGGAAGGTACTGCAGCTCATTCATCCAGGTGTTTTTGTCCAGGATGGTAACCACCTAAGTGTCTAAAGTGGATATACTTTCATCATTTCATTGTTTTAAAAAATCTACCAGAATGGAAAGGACCTCCTCTCCCCCAACTCACATATACACACATTTTGTTCTTTCCTTTTTCCCATCTTCCTTAAACATGGGGATTCTTCTTTCTCTCTAAAGCTGAGCTTATTCTCACTAACAGTTAGAAACACTTTCCCTTGTTTACTTGTCTGCTAAAATGGTGAGCTAGAAGTCGGAATTCTCATAACTTACTATCATTTTTTTTTTTTTTTTTTTTGTCTTTTGTCTTTTTTCCGTGTCCGGCAATGGATCGCCACCCTCAGTGTTGCCCCCGTACCGGACCGGGACCGGCTACGGGATCGCAACCCTCGGTGTTGCTCCCGCACCTCACTCAGCCAGTGAGCGGGAACCGGTCTGTATGTGGGATCCGAACCCTCGGGCGGGAGCGCCGCCACGCTTCCCAAGCGGCGCACTATCCAGTGAGCCACCGGGCCGGCCCCAGAACTTACTATCATTTAAGACAGTTATTAAGAGTTTTTTATTACACCTATCCCAATCAGTTTATGCTTCCCTCCAAAGGATCTGTTTTCTCTCCCTTTATCCTGTTTGTATCTGTTTCCTAGACATTTACTAATTTCTCAACATCTTTTAAAAATGTGAGCTCCACTCTAAAGAATGCAGTAAGAAGCCTTTGATGGTTGAGCTTCAAGAACTGAAAACTTTGGTCTGACTTAATAATTGATCTAAATAAGGCAGATAATTAGTATGAGGTTATCACTAGGGCTTTTAAAAATCTGCCTAATCTTTTCTAGCATATGCAGTCTCTGTTGTTTTCATGTTTTACATTCCATTTTCCTTTTCTGTTCCTTTTCACCCTACCATGATTATCATCAACCTGTGCCTCACTATATTTAAGTTCTATTAGAGAAATAGAGTAAAGGGGGATATAGTTGGAAGGGACCTCAGAGACAGGCAGTTGTAACTTTTTATTCTAAGATTAATCTGCTGTGAAGTTTTGGGCTGTTCAGGTGGCTTTTGTGGGCTTCTGTTTGTGCCTTTCGAATATGATCTCCAAGATTTTGGTTCAGTTCTGATACTGTCTGATGCTCTGATATATCCCTATGACATAACAGAATCTGATGAAGTGTAAAAGTGTGCTCAGAAATCCTTTTAAAGTGGATGTGAAGAAGACAAAGGTACACATAGACATTTTTGCCTGAAAATTAGGCTGTGAACTAGAATATGGTAGTCATGTATTCAGTAACCTAGACCTCTTTTACCTCATCACTTAACCTATTGTGAGCATTCTTCTAATACATTATGACTTTTAAAAGCAGAAGAGAACTTGGTGACAGTTCTTTTTACCTAACAGGTATTGAATATTTTTTCATGGAGTCTGTTGCCAAATGTGGGTCAGATGAGAGTTTCTTTATCCTGGCTGCATGTTAGAGTAACTTGGGCTTTAAAAGGGTACTGGCGCCTGACTCTACCTCCCCACTCCCTTTCCTCCATCGCCAAGATTCTGATTGAAGTGATGTGAGATGGAGTTTGGGCATCAGCATTTTTTGATAAGCTTCCTTGGTGATTCTCATATGTAGCCAATGTCTAGAAGCACTGGAGCACTGAGTGAAGTTAATAAAGGTTTATGAGACTTATGACTCTAATAAAGATATGGACAAAATATGTCTATAGATTTATGTACCCAGTAGAGTAAGAAAAGTAGAAGATTTTCTATATGATATAAAATACATTATTGAACCTTTCTAATCCTGTGGGTGTAAAGTAGGAATGATATGTTACTTTGCTTAATGCAATGGTTCTCAAAGTGTCATCCCAGACACAATAGCATCAGAATCACTTGAACACTTAATACACATGCAAATTATTGGGACCCTCCCTAGATCTATTGAATCAGAATCTCTAGGGAGTGGGACCCAGTAATCTGTATTTTAGCAGGACTTTCCAGAGATCCTGATGAATTCTAAAGTTTGGGAACCATCAGCATGGAGGGTTGCTGTATGTGTGAGAGGTAGCGTATGAAAATCTTAGCACATTGCCTGGTGCACAGTGAGATTCCAGGAAGCAGAGTTCTCTAGAGATAGTATGCTTGACTGCTTGGTAGTCTAAATTTGGCTGGGGGTTAGACTTGATAGATGTTAGCTACTTTTTAAATTCTAAGACTGTCATTTATAAGGCAAATGGAGGCCAACTGAATCATTTTGAAGGTGTATCAGAACAACCAAAACAATCCACCATCCTCCCACTGTACCCATCCTTCCATTCTTAGACTCTTCTTTTTCTGAAGACTTAAGTTGTGATGTGTTGATACTATCTAAAAGCAACTTATTTAATAATAGAGAATGCTGTGTTGAATAGCTGAAATGCAAGGAAAAGCTACTTATCCATAAATAGAGGAGAATATTTCTCTAGTACATCAAAAGCATTATTTTTAAAAGGAAAAGAAGTAGAGAAAATGTTAGAAAGTGGAAGTTTCTGTTTTCCCAGCAGAATTTTTTGCAAAGACTATTTAAAAAGATTCCATACCATGAAGCATATAGCTCTTGGATATATGTACGTACTTCAGATCTTAGAGATTGGATGTTTTCTTTCAATAACTTTAGCCTCAGTGTGCTGTTCTTGTTGGCCAGAGATACTGGGTTTCTTGGTATCCCGAAGCCTCATTACTTCCCTCCTGGATTGTATATGGGTTTCAAAATTAGATGTTTCTTATTCCACTTTCTCTTAATCTGTCTTGCACATACTTTTAGATTAGTTTTTTAAAAATCATATTGTGACCAACTGTTTCTTTCTTAGAAATCTTTGGTAGTTACCTATTGCATGCATGATAAAATTGAAATCCTTTGTTAGATGTGAAACATACTTAAAAGCGTATTTTCATCACCTTTCTTAGTTTTATAACCCACTAGTATTATTTTTTATTATTATTATTTTTTTTGTCTTTTTTTTTTTTTTTTTTTACTGGCAATGGATCGCAACCCTCAGTGTCGCGCCCGTACCGGACCGGCAACGGGATCGCAACCCTCGGTGTTGCCCCCGCTCCTCGCTCAGCCAGTGAGCGGCCGGTCTGTATGTGGGATCCGAACCCTCGGCGGGAGCGCCGCCGCGCTTCCCAAGCGGCGCACTGTAGCAGTGTGCCACCAGGCCAGCCCCACTAGTATTATTTTTCATACCCGTGTTTTTGCCGTGTTATGATTTGCTCTTTATTCTCCATGCCCTGAATTTTTTGACCTCTGTGCCTATGTTTCCCCATCTTTCTTCCTACAGTGGACTTGCTCGCTACGTCATAATGTTCGGCATTATGGTCCTGTAAAGCTTTCTGTGTTCCTCCACCTGAACATAAGCCTTACTTTATCTTAATTTCTAGATGTTTGTTTGTACGCCTTCATAAATTGCATCTTGCATTATCCTTACTTGTGTACACATTTTTTCCTCTTCTATTTGATTGAAAATTTATTGAGGGTAAGTACCAAGTCTTGTACAATTCAGTAACTCCATCCCCCACCCCATTCCCTGCTCTTGTTAAACGTACGCAGGCTCTCTAGACTAGCTTTAATACCACTTCTAAATATCAGATCTAGTCCTCTTTATTCTTCTGAAATTTAAGGCTACTAATTAAACCGAGGAGAACTAGGGTAGGGAATAATTGCTATATAAAGCAAAAATTACGTGTCAAAGCCATTGCAAAGGAGTAAAATGCCAGCAAATATATCTTTTTAAAGAGTACTATAAAATTGCTTACCAATTAACTTCATGTATCTATTTCCTTTCTGTAGGTGATTTTCTTCCACCGCCACCTCCACCTCTAGATGATCCCGGTGTCCTCCCATCTGGCTCTGGAAACTTTCCTCCTCCACCACCCCTTGATGAAGGTGCTTTCAAAGCACAGGTAAAAGCTGTGGTTGAAGTCATGTTAATAAGCCATGCTAGAAAGCTCATGAATTCAGTGACTGTTTCTGTGATGGATAAACATTTATCCAGAGCCTATAGAGAGCTTTACACCTTACAAAGCGCTGCAGTACTTTAATGCAAAATGCCCAACTCACGCTTGTCAGAGTCCTGCTGGCTTATACTCTGAAGCCCTGGAAATCCTTTTACCTACTAATTTTATTTCAAAACCCAAATCCATTTTTTAGGAATGCCATTTGAGAAGTCCACATTTTCTTGTTATCCTGGGGCACACAGCCACACCTTTTTATTGCCTTTTTTCCCTCTATCCACAAACACTTCATTCTAAATGATACGGCTGACATTTTAAGGCTCTGGTTGGTTACCATGGGTCCTAATTGGTCGGTAACATCTTTCTAGCAAAAGCAAAAATCCTTAGAGTTTTCTCTTCTGGGTAAGTTCAAGGATGCAAATTAAAAGTATGTATCGATTATATAGAATTATTGTGTTCCAGAGAGCACTGATTGCAAAGTAGCTCAGGTCTGGAATCAGAAGTGACATTAAAAGTAGTTCTCAGTCTATGATCATAGGTGACTGGTGACCAGCTGCCACCATTTAGTCTGAAGATATCATTTGTGTTAGGAAGAAAAAGTAATAAATTCATACAATTTTTGTTGTGTTTTTAGGTCTGATCATTTTAATGTAGATGTACTGAAATAAAAAAGGATTCTTGTCTTTTAGAGAAACATCAGAAGTATTTGTAGATTAAATCGAATGGTGTCTGGTATTTGCTTCAAAATAATGAGTAGGAAGCTACTGAGTGAGAACATAGGTGAAAAAATATTAGTTATGGGTTGATAATTGTTTGGTGCATGGAGGTTTATTCAGTTATTTGGTCCATCTTTTCCCATAATAAGAAGTATAAAAGAGGAAAAGCCATAGGAAATAACTGCTAAAATGGTTTAGTCCATTGTCTGACTTTATTTCTCCTAAATTTCAGGTTGAAGGAGATAAAGGAAGAAATGATTCATTAATTCAACAAATATTCTATGTTTCTCTGTAGGCATTTTTCAAGCACTAGGAATTCTGTGGGAAGAAAGACAGACAGCTCTGCCCTCATGGTACTTACAAGTTGGTAGAACTAGTGGAAGTAAGCAAATATACACGTCATGAAGTACATTAGAGTGGGATAAATGCTATGGGTAGGGGAAGCTGGGAGGGGGATATGGCTTACCCAGGGTGGGCATGGTCATAAGGCCTCACTGAGAAGGTGACACTCAGACAAAGACTTGAAGGAGGACAGGACGGAATGAGCCATGTGGGTCTCTTGGGGAGTATATTTTCACGTCGTAGATGTTAAAAAATAGAAGAAGCTTTTTATATTATTGATCAGTTGAAATTAGGAAGTTCCAGTTTTAACCAGTAAGTTACAATTCAGTTTGAAGCACAAATCTTTCAAAGGCTGTTAAAAAGTTTGTTTCTTGTATATACGAGTACTCATATATGTCACAAAGTTCCTGCATTTTTATTTTTATTTATTTATTTTTCTGTGGTAAGCTAGTAAAATCAAAGATCAGATGCCAGTAATGAACAAGAGTCCTACAAAGTCTATGCTTATTTCATGCAACAGATAGAACTTTTGGCAAATAAAAATAATATGATTTTCTTTTCTTTTTTTTTTTTTGTCCTTTTTCATAAAAATTAAAAAAAAAATCCTTAGAGTTTCCTTTTTATATACCTCTGCTCTTATTTTGTTGGGAGGGTGGTTCTTTGTATATCGCTTAATATGCATAATTAGAAATTCTCTTAGTGTATTTTTTTCTCTTTGATCATTATGGAAGCTATTTTGTTATGTTTTAAATCTTTAGTTCTCAAAAGGTTGTTTGACCTAGTGACTGAAGACTTGTGTTTGAAAACTAGCTGAGCAGCTTATTTTAGTTGTGTGATCTTGAGCAGGTCACAGTAAGTCTCAGTTTTCTCATAAGTAGAAAGAAGGTAAATATACCTTCTTCTTACAGTAAAATCAAATACAGATATATTTGCAATTGATAAACTGAAATGGCTATACAGATATTTTGATGTTATAGTATTACTATGTAAATATAAAAAGAACAAGAATAAAAATGCTTTGCCATTAAAAAAAAATTCAAACATGGGGCTTTCATAAAATTACAAAAAGTCTTTTTCTGTATGGACCTTGTTCTGGTAAATGTACTCAAACCATGGCTTTGTTTTTGAAGAGGAAGGAAATAAACAAAAAGCCTTTTGCTGTGTTGGCTTATGTTCTCTGCGAAACAGAAGGGAGGAAGATAAAAAATAAAGTAGAGTTTGCCAAATGGGAAAGGACAAATCTGGGAGGGAGAGAAGCATGCTTTTTTTGAGACTCTTCATATGATAGATTGTTGGCGAGTTCAATAAAACATGGACATGACTTTCCTTTGTGCAGTAGTGAGTTGGCTGTGATAGTGTCTTGGCCCTTCTCTGGCTGTATTTGCACCACCTTTAGATATGAGCTATAAGGTAACCTAAAGTAATATGATCACTGGAGATAATTTTGCACTTTTTTCTCTCAGCTATGGTGAGACCTCATGTTGCCAAGTCCATATTATAGTTGATAATTCTGTGTTTTCATGTAGAAGTCTGTTTATGTTTCTAGCCAGATTTTTAGGTCAGAGCCAAAAGTATGTCTACTAAATGTGTCTATCAGAATTATAAGATTTTCAGATCTGAAGGAGACCTTAGAAATCATTTAGTCTGATCTGGGCACCAGACATCTAGTTACAGCCCTTTCAAGTGTTTGCTGAATGAGTTAATCATCCCCTCTCCTTTTTTTGAAATGGAGAAACTGAGACCAAGGAGATGTGGATCCTGTAGTTTCTGCCAGAGCTCTTACTGAATTTGAGAAATCTTGACTCCTGATCTTGACCTTCTTTCCACTGTACCAAATGGCTGGGGTTCTTGGTTTCTCTTTAGTCCTCTGTCAGGCCCCAAGGTTCAGAGTAGGGGGGTTATATGCTTTTATCTGGAAAGACCAGGTGTTGCTAAAGTTTTCCTTGGCTCCCTGCATTTTTAATATATGTTATAATCTTTTTTCTTTGCAGAAGGCAAATAAATATTTAGTGTCAAGTATTCTTGTTTGGAGAATTCTCATTTTTATGAGAAAAGATGAATCTTGGAAAACAAGTGAGGGATTTTCTTCTCTCCTTTTCTATTCATTCAGACATGATGGCGTGTTTGCTAGTGTAACTCCAGTCCCTCCACCTCAGAAAACGGACTGTTTTTTGTCCATCACTGGTTATTCCAAATGTTAAAAATTTCTTCTTATTGAACTGAAATTTGTTCTTTATGATTTCCTCACAGTGATTTTCTTCCTACCCTGTTAGAAAATGATGCACAGTCAAAGGAACGGTCAGGCCAGGAGAGAGATAGATGCTGTCTGTCACTAAGACTTGAGGTGGCTTTCCTAAGGTGAGATTGACCACAGGGCAACATAAGCTATGCCCAGAATTAGTGGAGAAGAGGAGGAAGAAGAGAAATCTCTGAAGTCATTTGTTTTCAGGTCAGTCTCCAAAAGCTTTTAAGCAAACTTGGTCCTATTCTTGTGAAAAATGTTCGAAGCTCATCTATGTGTATGAGGAATGGTGGCTGATAATCATTTTTCCACTTACCCATTTTACGTATTTCATTTAACAATGATAATTTGAAAGTCTCTGGAAGTTTTAGCTGGCACAGAACTGGCACTGGAATTTGTGTTTTGTGATTCTGTCTAGTACCATCATGGCCACAGGTATGGAATGACAGAAATTTACTTCCAGACATAACGAACTTAGGACCACCGCCACGGCCGCCTTCATTCATGAACTCACAGAAACAGCCAGCTGGACTGGCTTTATGTGATTTGGACACACCTTGTCATTCAGGCCATTCCTTTTGCTTCCCATTAGTGTGATGAGGAAAGTGAAGGCTGATATAAGTGAAGATCCAGGCTCCTGCGGTTAGGAGTGGAGGTAGTGGGCAGTGTTGCCAGAGCAAAAGTAAAACAGTCACCATAATCTGTAATGCCCTCGAAATGCTTGTCCTTTCTGTGGGGTGAGAATATGAGAATAACTTGACCCATGAGAACATACCAAGTGGGTGATTGAGATGCTTTTTCCTTCCTGGCCCTTTGCCTTGTTCCTTTTGGTCAGCAAACCCTAGTCAGTTTGTAGGTAGTTTGTGACCCTGACAACAACAGTAGCAGCAGCAACAGCAGCAGCAGCTTGCTTTGCAATTATCTCCTACTTTATGGTCTGCATGTGTGGGTTGGTGTGTGTTTAGCAAGACTGGGTATGTTCTTAAGCATGGCAGTGGCTCTGGTTGGTGTGACTTTCTATAAGCAAATGTCAAAGATTTCCTGTTTGCTTTTTGCTCTGAATCATCCTCTGACTGAGTATTTAGAAGAGGACAGAGGGACGTTTTCGGTGTCTGGACTTGTAAAAATTTCTTTGAAAGTAGCAAGCCTGGAGTCAATAAGGACTGTACCAGTGTTTCATTTAGCATTTTGAACCTCTTTTTTTTCATGGAATGTCATACTTTCTCTTCTTCATTTTTTAAGAATTTATTTAAAGAGGTAACCCTTTCCCTGAGATTGATGGTGGAGTATGTGTACACATAACCCTTATCAACCCACTTACACGGCTGCCACTACCTTGAAATATTTTAGGAACATTAATGCTCTCTGCAGTCAAAGATTGGTAATTGCTGGACAAAAAAAGTCGTATGGGGAAATTGGTTGTGGTCAGGTCTGCTGTATGTAGGGATAACCAATGAGGTTAGATTTGCTTTATTTCCTGAGTAAAGGGAGTAATTTATGATGCTTGCATATTACAAAAGATTTCCTTTGCTGAAAGTTAAGTGAAACTGCAGTTGGCTCTTTCTCAGTCAGTAGAAGTTTTTATCCCACTTTCTCTCTCCCATCAAGAATCTTAGTGGTTTCTTCAAAGCTCAATTGAATTTTTTGTT